CTCCATCATACATGTCCTTAATCGCCCTAATGTAGGCAATCGGGACCCCTTTAGCCTCTAAGCCGGTTTGAGGTGAGTAATGAGTGTAAATGATGTCCTGAGGTTTTGAAACCCCGGATTGCACATTATAGTGCTATATTGAGGTGGGACACGCGCTGGATGAAGAGAGCGGGGTCCTTTACTACTGAGGATTGTGACTTGGTCCATCCTGTATTGATGATTTTACTGCATATTTGATTGAACCTGATTTGTTATCATCATGATTTGGGTTGTTTGCCATATTTGGGCTTCGTGCCAATTATTTGAATCCTTCGGGAATTTTTATCACTATTTCCTCATTGTTTTGACTTATATTTAAACTCAATCCTGTTGATGATTATTGTTTTACAAACTCAGCCACTTTTATACAGATTTGAAACTCAAATGATATTTCTAAATGATATTTTGGGCTGAGAACTACTGTTTTACAAATGCCCAAGGGGCTTGTGATGATTTTCGGACTGAGTGAGGCCGAGGGCCATATGTGAGGATATGCTGAGTGATATGAGGTCGAGCGCCTGAGTTACTATTTATGCCACACGGTGGCTTGAGTCATGTGAGGAGGCTTTCAGGCCTTATGAGTGATGTGAGGAGGCTTTCAGGCCTTATGAGTGAAGTGAGAAGGCTTTCAGGCCTTATGTTATTATTGCGCTTGGGCTGTAGGAGCCCCTCCGGAGTCTGCACATCCACAGTGAGCGCGGGTACCCATGTGATTTGGCACAGTGGTAACAATGACACTGTATGATGCAATTTGGTTAGGTAACAATGACTGACAAGGAATAACACCGTGAGGTCAGGTAACAATGGCTGACCAGGAACTAATTTGTGCCCGAGGGGCTGGTACTATTCTATATGATTGCCCGAGGGGCGAGGTTTATATGTTCATTTTGCATACTCACTTGTCTTTTACTTGTTTAATTGTGGTATTTGTGCCCGAGGGGCGGATTTCTGTGCATAGCGGCACTAATTGTTTTGAAATTATTTCACAACTGTTGAAAAGATCATTTTCAAAGAGGTTTAAAATGAGCCAAGGTATTTTCTAAAGAATTCACAGTTTCACTGATTTTTCTCAAGGAGTTTTACACTGCTTCTATATAGCATGTTGGTTGCTTTATGTGATTTCTTGCTGCTCAGTTACTATTTACTTTTATTACTCACTGAGTTGGAGTACTCACTTTACTCCCTGCACCTCGCGTGCAGTTGCAGGTATTTGTTCACCCGGTAGCGGGTATTGGCTGCGTGGAGGCAGAGTTGTAGAGGTTTTTGCGAGGTGACTGCCAGCGTTCGCAGCACCACTGTCTTTCTATGTTATTCATTATTCTTGTTCAGTGTATTTCTAGACTGTAAAGTGGAAATTTCATTCTTATAGATGCTCGTGACTTGTGACACCCCGGTTAGGGCTGTGTCGGGCTGGACTTCCGCATTATTATCTATATTTGTGTTAATTAATTGCTTTAAAAGATGAATTGGGTTAGACTGACTGGTCTTGTCTTCAAGAGAGGCGCCATCACGACCGGATTCGGGGTTAGGGTCGTGACAATAAGTGAATCAAACTAGTGTTACCAAGCAGTATCGGCCTCGAGCTTAGTGACCTCGAGATGAACCAAGAATAATAAATTAAGACCAGTAAAGAGAAAAGACAAGTCTGATGAGCAATGAGCCAGAAAAGTACGATAGTATATTCTTTGCCAATGATTAGATGATTTTTACAAATGATTGGAGTCCCCTTTATATGATAGGGGATCCCTAAATAAGGTACATTTCCATTTACAGTAAGGAATCTTATTGGAAAAACTGTCTAACCGCCTAGTACGAAATCATACAATTCTATTCCGGGATCAACGCCATGATTGTGGGGACGTGGCAAGAATCTCGCTCATTCTGTTAGAGATCTGTAACAACATTATTTCAGGGTCGAGCATACACAATTTCAATATTCATCGTACTTCGATCCTCGGGCATTGCATCCTATCTTCGAGCTCGAGTCTGGTCCATCGGGCTCGAACTCGACCTTGCCTGAATTCGGTCTTAAGACGAACCCTCGAGCCTATAGATCAAAGGCATATGATTTAGATCGTATACACTTTGACCAGTTTAATGTTGGCATATTTATAAGTGATATATTGTTTTAATGTTCTTCTTTATGAGATTACTTTCGTTTCTTTCATCACGTTTTAATTCCGTGTATTTATTTTGACTGTCTTTTTGCGTTGTCATCGTTTAGCTCGTATGAACACGCCGAGTGGTTAATTTGCACTATTCTCATGTTGAATTTTATTGTAATATTTGCCTAATATAGAGATTTGCTTGAAATCCTATCTCTAATCATGTTTCAACTTTTCAAATAGTCAGGTGTATTCTTGAAGTTTCAAATTAAATTATAGTACCAATTTCATATGGTTTTGCGCTTCGATGAATTCTTTTAATAATACGTTTTTCAGCCATTGATGCCGACCTTGAGCTTTTTAAAGGTAATTAATTTCCTTAATCACATAAATTCTCTCTCAAAAATTTACTTCATGTGTATATCTCACTGGATAATAAACAATGCTAGCATGTAGTCTTGTTTTAGTTTAATAACTTTGTTCCCAACCATGACAAAAGAAGATGTTACTCTTCAAGTATAGACTTTGTTCCCACATATTAATTAAATTTATGGTTTAATTTCAAGTGATATTATATTATTAGGAAATACATAATCTATGCTAATTAAACGTTGATGGTATATCTTGAATCTGATCTTTGATTTTTAATTGGTGAAAAGAAACGAAATTATGAGGGAAAAAAATTATATGGAAAGCAAACTGTCCTTTTAACGACATATCAAGCAAGCATAAATAGAATCGAAACATGTCATCTATCACAATTAAGTTTTGTTTATACGTAGAGATAAAGTTTTGGTATTAAAGAACATCTAAGTTTCTTTTACCATGTTATGAAAATATATTATAAAGTTTTGGATGCTTTGAATTCCAATTTTATACGAATAATTTGGGTTTGAAAAGTTTCTCTTTTCTAATTTGAAATTAGTATTGTTTGGTTTAGAAGAATTTATAAATAACAAGAAGGTAAAACCAAAACACATGCATACATGCATATAATTTCCTATTGTATTCTTCTCCCTGTTTACATTACTTTCTACTTTTGTCAACATAGATTTTAATATAATTTATTATTGTACCTTCAGTCGAAATTAAGACCATTTGAACAGATACTTCCAATGTTTTAGTGTTGTTAAGAACTTCAATTATTGAATGTTCCTCTTGAACCTATCCATTTACAATGGCTGTGTAATTACACCTAATTTTTATTATGTGAATCATTCGCGAAAAAGAAAGATAAAAGCTTTTAAAAATACTATCCATCCGTGTTGTGATTAAAATAGAATTCTTTCTTATATTTCTTTTCTCTACTTTATAAGAGCAAGACTTTCAACATGTCTTCTTGGAATCTTTTTAAACAAGCTTGAGGGCACTTCAGTCATTTCTCATCAGCTATATACGTGCCCTTTTGTGCTCTTCGCAGATATATGTATACATTTTCTTCTACTCCCAGATATATGCTTTTCTTCTCTTTCAACATAAACATATTCCTTAGCAAAGCACACAGCATCAGAGAAACGATCCATCACAAGATCAAATCAAAATCAGGTAAAAGTGAAGTTCAGATTTGAGTTTGATTCAAAGTTATTTTGCTCGATTATTGCTCTGTATCAGCTTTGCTCCTTAGTTTCTAGCTTTTAATCCATTCTTTTTGGTTTTGACATTTGTTGGTCTGTGAGTTATGTTTGTACCTGTGATTTGTGCTGAATTTTCCTACTTTTAGCTTTTAATATCAATTTTGTTATTTTCTATGTGTTGTTTCTCCTATTTTTTTGTTCCAATTTGTTTCAACTCAGACAACATCCGAAAATTTCAAAGTTAGGGCTTTGATGGATGAAATTGGGAGAATATTTGTGCTACAATATCTAGTGGCGATTTTAAAAATACACATATATTCATTCCGCGAATACCACTATTGACATCAGACGACGAAAAACTACCCATTCAATTTAAAAGAACACAATTTCCAATACGGTTATGTTTCGCCATGCCTATAAATAAAGCGCAAGGCCAAACATTAGATTTTGTTGGCATTTATTTGCGAGAACTTGTATTTTCTCATGGTCAGTTGTACGTTGCTTTATCAAGAGCTAAATTTTCTAATTGTGTCAAGATATTAATTAGACTGGCTATAGCTGGCGATGATGATGGTCACTCCACATATAATGTAGTTTATGATGAAATTATCGAAAAAGCTTTTTCTATAACTTAGACCATCATTCCTAATAGTTAGTGTGACGTACAACTTGTTCACTCTTTGGATTCTTTGATTTTGTATTATAATCATTCTAACAATCTTACGTTTGCTCATTATTATATTGTGATGTGTTATAATTGAAGATTACGTCTAGATGGACGAAAGATTCAACATCAATGTGATTACTCCAGAAATAGAAGAATGGACCTGCAAGATACAAGTAGTTGATAAAGGCAGACCTAGAGACAACAAGGAGAAAACGAAAAAGTATCAACTGATGGTTTTGTAAGATGAAGAGTTAATCTTTAGAGGATTCATAAATTTACCAATAGTAATTAAGTTAATATTATCCTAATTGTGCCTTATTTTGTTACAGAAAAATCAAGTGGAATGCATTATATTCAATGCGGAGATAATGCATTTTGATGATCCGTTTCGCCATTTCCATACTTACTTGGTGTCACTTCCACAAGTCAAAGAATCAAACTATATGTACGGAAATCCACTTAATAAGTTTACATGGACAATTGATAGGTGTACCATTGTTGAGCCAGTAGAAACTGTTAATCCTCCAGAAGAACCACTACCTCCGCCAACGCGCCTAAATCTTACACCATTTGACAACTTCTAATATCAAACCGAGGGATCTGAATTCGGTAACTGAAGATTTAACTATTTATGTTGTTTGTTTGCCTAAAATTCACATTTATTAGTATTGTTATTATTACGATTATTGTCTATATCAATTTTTATTGTCTATTAGCTTATTCATCATTCTTTTAAAACGCAAGATGTGCTTGCCATCGTGCTCAACACAAGCCCCTCAACCTATGCTTCAAATGGGCAGAGAATTCAAGATTTTATCATCATGGATGATCAGTAAGTATACATAAACCTATTTTATTGGTTCCAACTAGCAACTGATGATTTAAGTATAATGTAATGTGTCACTTTTCGTATATTGTCTAGCAATAGTACACAATAAATGAAACCGAAATTCAAGTTGAGGTTGTACCCTTTAAAAGACTGCTTTTCATGCTTCAACTGAACTTTGGCTTTGCTGCAATTATAATCTTTCAAAGCATACTTAGATCTACTACACATTATTGGAATTATTATAGTTTAACCTTTTTACTACTAATAATATTTGATCATATCTTTAAATATATTCTCAACAATGCAAAGTTCTTATCTTATTGTTTCTCTTGCTATAAGAATATAAGTAAAATTAGGATTGATATCATATTATGCTTTTGATTTACACTAAATTTTAATTTGGCTCAGCTTTTTTGCAACTAATTTATGTTTTTCAGAATTAACTTCAAACTTTCAATTTATTTTGATTTATATAACCACAATTGTTGGGATAGCTGCATGGAGTGACGATGTTTGGTGGCTAAAAGTCCACACCAATCCAAGAGTCTAAAAAGCATATCATTGGCCTTTAATATTTTAAAAATCTTTTTTTTTTTGTCCTTCAATAAAGTTAGAAGCAATGATCTGGATAAGGAAATCTTAGTTATGGCAAAATCACAAATTATGAAGGAGCTATTAAAAGCTAACTTAAAAATTATTTAGTGTTATATGTGCCAGAGAATTAGATTGTTGCTAAGAGTTTCTAATTAAATGTCTTCAAATGTAGAAATATAACATAATTAAATTTGTAGTTGCTTTGTTTTTCTCTTTAACAATGACTTTCTAATTTACCCGTAGTTGTTCTTTAATAAAGGTAGTGTCTCAAAAATTATGATTATATTTAATTTTTTTACCTACTGTTAATGCATTATCACGACCCCAACCCCGGTCATGATGGCGCCCAACACACTGCTAGGCAAGCCTTACCAACTAACAACCTCAATCCGTTTTCTTATAGAAAAAATCATTATGAGCTAACATAGTTAAATTGCTAAATTACCCTAATAAGAGTTTAAGACAACGAGTTAAATATGCGGAAATTGAGATGATAATACTGCTACATAGCCCATACAGATCCGGTGGCATAAGTCTCGAGCCTCTAGTACAAGATTAACAGCCTAATACATAATCAGTCTAGGAAATGCGGATAAAACGAAAGGATAGAAGGGAGAGATCCGGGCTGCGGACGTCGTGCAACTACCTCGATGCTCCCGGATATGAACTGATCGACTGAAAATCCTCACTCAGCCTCTGGAATACCTGGATCTGCACGCAAGGTGCAGGGAGTAATGTGAGTACTCCGACCCAGTGAGTAATAAGCATAAAGAATGACTGAGAATAAGAAATCACGGAAAATACAAAGTAATCTATAATGCGGCAGTTTTAAACAAGTAATATGAAAATAATAAACCAATGGAATCGAAATATGGTAATGCTACAACAAATAAGTAGTTAAGTGACAGACATATAAAGAAAATCAACACATAGAATGGTACCCTATAGTACCCCGCTGCGGCGTGCAGCCTGATCCATATATCTCGTCGACGGCGCTCATTTGGGGTGTGCAGACTCCTGGAGGGACCCCTTACGGCCCAAGCGCAATATCAAGCCATCTCGTGGAATCAAATCTAGGCCCTCGGCCTCAAATCAATATCAGTATAATAATGCTGCGGCGCGCAGCCCGATCCCATAGTATCCTCACAACTGACCCTTGGTCGTACTCAGTCCAGAAATCATATAAGCCCCTCGGGCATTAGTAAAATAGTAGGTCTCAGCCCAAAATATCATTTAATATATCATTTTAGTTTCAAAACCGAGTAAAAGTGACTTTAGTTGTAAATTAGTGGAAAACGGTATGAATGAGTTCAAGTAGTAAGTCAAAACAGTGAGGAAATAGTGACCAAACTCCCCGGAGGGTTCAAACAGTTGGCACGAAGCCCAAATATGGCAATCAGTCCAAATAAAGATGATAACAAATAAGCTTTAATCAAATACGCAGTAAAAACATCACCCGAGACGGACCAAGTCACAATCCCCAACTGTAAACGACCCCAAGCTCATCATCAAGCACGTGTCTCACCACAATATAGCACTACGATGTGCAAATCCGGGGTTTCAAACCCTCAGGACATCATTTACATTCATTACTCACCTCGAACCAGCTACAACTCTAGCTCGCGACGCCTTTGCCCCTCAAATCGGCCTCCACGCGCGTCGAATCTATCCAAAATCAGAACAAATACATCACAATATGCTATGGGAGCAAAACCCAAGCGAAAATAATCGAAAAATATCAAAAATCCCGAAATTAGCAAAACCCGATCCCCAGGCCCACATCTCGAAACTCAGAAATTTTCACATCAACGGGTTCCTTATCCTTCCACGAGTTCATACATATCAAAACTTCTCAATTCCGACCTCAAATGGCCCTTCAAATCCCAATTCAAAAAGTTCAAAATCCCAAGCCCTAGTTCTTCCATTTTTAGCTTAGGTTCCATGAATTTCTAGGTTAATTTCACAATAGAATCACGTTTTAGGTTCATAAATCTTACCTCCAATCAATTCTCCTTGAATCCCTCTTCAGTTTCCCTCAAAGAGCTCTCAAAGTACTCAGCTATGGCGGGAAAATGGCTCAAAATCGCGGATGAAATATTTTATAAATTCACTGCCCAGTTCTGATATTCCTTCTTCGCGATCGCGGCCCAAGCCTCGTGATTGCGAAGCACAAATTTTAACTTCCCAAAAATAACCCTTCGCGAACGCGACTCAATTCACGCGAACGCGAAGCTTCAGGCATCACACTTAAGCGAAAGTGTTCCCTCACACGCGAACGCGAAGAACAAACTCCACTGGGCTCCAAATCCTTATACGCGAACGCGACCCTCTCACTGCGAACGCAAAGCACAAGCTGCTCACTCTTCGCGAACGCGAGCCCTCAGACACGAACGTGAAGCACAAACTCAGGCCCACCCAAATTCCCTCTACGCGATCGCGAAGGCCAAAAATCCTCTACAACTGCTGCTCAAATTCTGCAACCTCTCAACATAGAAATTGGTCCGATTGACCGTCCAAAACTCACCCGAGGCCCCTGGGACCTCAACCAAAAGAACCAACACATCCTAAAACCTCATTCAAACTTGTTTCAATCATCAAAACACCTCAAATAACACCAAATCCATCAATTCACATCGAATTCAAGCCTAAGTTTTCTAAAAACTTTCGAAATACGCTTTCGATCAAAAACCCAACCAAACCACATCCAAATGACCTGAAATTTTGCACACACATCCCAAATGACATAACGAAGCTACATCAACTCTCGAAATTCCATTCTGACCCTGGATCAAAATCTCACCTATCTACCGGAAATCGCGAAAATACTAACTTCGCCAAGCCTAATTCTACACCGGACCTCCAAAACCACTTCCGATCACACTCCTAAGTCACAAATCACCTCCAAAATCTAACCGAACTATCGGAACTCACATCCCATCCCTCTAACGCATAAGTCAACATCTAGTTGACTTTTCCACCTTAAACCTTCTTAAAAGAGACTAAGTGTCTCATTTCTTAGCAAAACCACACCAACCGGAAACCAATCAACTCGGTCACATAAAGCATGGATAACGAAGCATAAAGAAGAAAAAATGGGGAAAATAGAGCGGTAACTCATGAAACAACTGACCGGGTCGTCACACGCATCCAGGTTTGCTAAAACATTCGATCCTTTTGATGTCATGTTTAGCCATTGGATTTTAAATCAAATTATATTTCAAAAATATGCTTTTTTCATTCAATACTTTTGATTAAGATTGACCAAAATATTTATGTGATTAGAAAGCTGAATAAAGAAGAGCAACTTTGTCTCCTCTAATTTTATATGTTTCTGAACAAATAGATAACCTATCTCAAATTATAGCCAATATAATCTCCCTCTTATTAGGAATTTGAGATATAGTAATTCTTGCACAAATTGTATAAAATGGATGAATCTTATATGTACTAGCTTTTAATTAAAAGAAATTAGAGTTAAACATTTTAATGTCTTTGAAGAAAAGCTAATAAATAGATTATAGAAATTCTATTCAAAGTTATCATGCAGTTGTGGATTCCTAAGTACTAAAACTTTGTATATCACAAACATGCTCCAAACTATTATATTTCAAATGTGCAGATATTACCAATGCTGAAAGATCTAATAGAAGAAAATAGCATATCAATGTTATGAACACCTCTATTAAATATTCTTGCATTGTATACAGTTACATCGCAATATCCGAACTTATTCAAAACATCTTTATGTTGGAACTAATTGGATCATTGCTACAATAAGTTGTGAATTATATCTATTTATCTTTTAGTAAGCATGAAGCAATTCTACCGTCTATTTTAGATTTGAGACTTATTGGCTCTTCGAGAACATATGATATTTCAAACTATTTTGCTTTAGAAGCTTTTGTTAGGTATCAATAGTCAAGACCTCAGGGAATACCTGTTTTCTTCGAAACTGATTACATTATAGAAATTTCTACACATTTAGATACCAATATGTGTTCATTTTTTTATCATGTCTAATATTTAAATGTTGCAATTGATGCTCATTTGTGTTGCTGAAGCATTGACATTCCCGTATTGATTTAAGATAGTGATTTAACAATTTTGTTCTATTTTATATGGGAAAAAACCAACGAAATTCACACTCTGGGAAGATTTTATTGATCATGATGGGAACATACTACTCGAATTGCTTAAAAAAGAATACCCAATAATTCTTGCTAGAAAAATTTGCAAGACCAAAGTCGTCGTCAGGTAAAACACCCCAAATGCATGCAAGATGGAGAAACAAATTTAATACAGGTAAAGTATATATGCAATTATGTTTTAGTTTTCCATATACCAGACGGCCAAATTAGAACTGAATGTTCAAATGCATGCACGATTGACTAACAGATTCAGTACAACAATCGAAATCAATCCTCTATACCCACAAGCAAATGCACTGAGAACATGGTATTGTAATCAATACATTATTGGTCGTATATGTGCTTGAACATATACAAGAACTAATTTTGAAATGTTAACATACTTGAAGGGCCCAACAAAATGAACAAATGCTTATCGCGTACACGATGAAGAGCACAAGTCCAACATGCTCTCTTTTATTTGTTCCTTTAGAAGAAGGTGCCAATTGCAGAAATCCGACAGCAAAATCCAGTAAGTACACTAAATATTCATATATGCACTATTGAAATTTTTTAACTTTATTCTCTAATAACAAAAAATTAATATGCGGCATCCTTGTGTTTTCCAGGGTCAAATATTCTACATACATGCTGAGTCACACTACAAAATGAGAACCAACGATTTTGTATCCTTGCTTGTTCAGACTGCAAACAACACTTCACATGAGCTATCTCGCGGAGAAAGTTCTATTGCACTAATTGCCGTCGAGCTACCCAGTTGGTTGCCAGGTATACATACAACTTCCACATAACTGTTTATATTTAACATTCTATATTCACCATCTTTTTAAATAACCAATCATTTTATCTTATAACTAGGTGCCAATTTGAAGTGACGCTCACAGATCAGAGTGGTTCTACAACAACAACTATTACCGACGAGCATGCAGAAAAAAATATTGCTTCTCACTTTGGAAGAGATTTATGATATCTGCAATGTCAATGTACATTGTTAATTTCGAAAAACCACAAATAACTATTTTCTATAGGTTGAGCCCCATCTCACACATAAATAACTAATTTCATTTTTACAGAAAGGACTGTTGCCTCTTGTGAATGCACAAAAGCTACTGACTGGCTAAATCTTCAAGATTCAAATAAAAAAGTTGTTTACAAGAAACAATGAGGCAAGAAAGTTAGTTATTTTGTCTTTCATGGTCAAAAGTAATTCGGTTGTCTCACAAATGCCAGCCACCATCAAGGATGTTGCGGAAGGAAGTAAACGAAAAAGTGAACACGTTGCCTCAGAGAGGCAATAGCACCCACATATAACTACCAAAGGCAACGGTTCCTACAACAAATATAAGGCGGAAATGAAACTTTCCCCTCCGAAAAATTGTTGAGAGGTATTTGAAATTTCTGTTCCTTATAAATTTAATATGAGATTAAACTTTGTAGAAAAAACAAACAACTTAAACGACTATCGTTTGTTAGCATTTTTTCCAGTGAAATATCTTTTGCTACTATTTTGGGATGCAAGTAAAGCCACAACTTGCTGTTACTTTTGAATGCGGCTAAGCTCACTTTTGCTACTGCTTTTTGGATGTTCCTCTACTCGGAATATGTTGCGGCGATTTTCACGACCCGGATTTTCACACTTGGGAGTCGTGATGGCGCCTACTAATGAGAGCTAGGCAAGCCAACCCTTAACTACCTTTTTCATTAACAATTTTTTTTTCAATTACTAGCGATAACATGAAAACAATGGAATTAAATAAATAAGCAAAAGTCAACAATTTTTATAACTCAAAACTACGTCTCTTACAACTTTCAAAACCTCAATACTCAAAACCTGGTGACACAGTGTCATAGACTGTCTAAGAGTCACTACAAACAAGGCCTGAAGAAAATACAATAAACTATTTCTGAACGAAAGAAAATGAAACAGGAAATAGAGATAGAGGGAGACGCCAGGGCCCGCGAACGCCTGCAAGTCTACCTTGGGTCTCCGGGTGGACTGAAGGAAGCCCTCCAACTACTGTCCATAAGCTGCCCCAGGATCTGCACACAGTGCAGAGTGTAATATCAGCACAACCGACCCCATGTGCTGGTAAGTATCTAGCCTAACCTCAGCGAAGTAGTGATGAGGATAGGACCAGACTACCAAATAAACTAGTACAATTTAAATATATACAGCGGAAAGGAAAATGCAGAAATAACCAATAAATGTGGGAAGGGGAAACATGCTGTAGGGGAAATAACGGTTCCCAATAGAAAGCTTCAGGTAAGGAAAGTAACAACATAAGTAGAATATCATGAAGAATCAGAAATCAACAATTTGCACGCCATCACCCTTCGTGCTTTTACTCTCGTTCTCACCAAATCAATCATATAATAACAACGTGCACGACATTACCCTTCGTGCTTTTACTCTCGTTCTCACCAAATCAATCATATAATAACAACGTGCACGACATTACCCTTCGTGCTTTTACTCTCGTCCTCACCAAAAAATATTTTATAATAAAAGTGTACACGGCATCACCCTTTGTGCTTTTACTCTCTTTCCTCACCATATAGTTAATGATAATCTGTACAAAATGGCACATCGTACAGCACGACATCACCCTTCGTGCTTTACACTCTTTCCTCACCATAGCAAACTATGCAGGCATCACCCTTCGTGCTTTAATGCTCTTCCTCACCCAAACAACAACCACAAACAAAGGGGCAAGGGAGTAAACAAATAATAATAGAAATCCCAGAAAGGGAACACAATTAAACAGTTAAATCCCGACAAGGGAACAATATCAATAATCTCAGCATCCCGGCAGGAGAGATAATAAACAAAGCAACAAACATCCTGGCAAGGGAACAATTTAATAACTCTTTCTCTTTCTTTCACTTTTACTTCATAACTCACTTTACCATTTGAGCCAATGCTCCAAAGGGTTCAATCATCTCAGATACTTTCACACTTTGTAATATAACTCAAGCCAATGCTCCTCGAAGTTCAAAGGTCATAATTTCTTTCACAAGCTTTTCACAACATAAAGAAATCATCACTAATTACATGTTTTAGGACTAGAAATTCAATAGATGTTGATGAAAATGAAAGGAAATAAGTTAAAGATTACTAACCCAATAGTTTATGGTGAAAGGATGCTTCAAAAGTCGCCCTAGAACTTTGGAGAAGAAAGTATTTGTGAAATTTTGGTGAAATCCCGTAATGGGTTATGTTTTGGGACTTTAAAATAACTGGGCAAAATCCTTCTTCACGTTTGTGATTAGCTCAACGCATTTGCAATAAGTCAGGTCTGAAGACCTTCGCGTTCGCGACACTAGGCTCGCGTTCGCAATGCTTTAGCACCTCGAGCCCTCGCATTCGCGGGCTAGTGGCCACGTTCGCGTAGAACAAACTGGTGGCCCCTCCCCTGAACCCTACATGTTCGCGAGTGGAAGGACGCGTTCGCGAAGGGTCTCCCCCCTGAGCTTCGCGTTCGCGTCTCAACCTCCGCATTCGCGAAGAAGAAACTGGGCACCTGGGATCTTTGCCTTACGCGTTCGCGAGTGAGACCACGCAAACACGAAGAACAAAATCCCTGGGCATAATAGCAGAAAATCTACAACACTTCTAAAGCCAAAAACCATTCCGAAACACCTCCGAAACACCTCCGAAACACTTCCGAGCCATCAGGGTTCCTAACCAAGCACAGGCTCTAACTCAACAACATCATACGAACTTATCCGTGCGATCAAATCGCATAAATAACCTCAAAATCAATGAATCAAACCTCAAAATCAAGAATTCCTCAAACTTCATCAAGTTTCTAATTTAGAAATTTAAGTCCGAAACACGTCAAACGACGTCCGATTTCATCAAAATTTTATAGGAACAACTTAAAACATATATAAGACATGTACCGGATGCCGGAACCAAAATACGGGCCCGATGCCATCGCTTTCTAATCAGATTTCATTTCCAATTTCCTTAGACATTTTCATAAAATAATTTTACATAAAAATTCATTTCTCGGGCTTAGGACCGCGGAATTCGATTCCGGACATATGCTCACGTCCCATATTTTCCTACGGACTCTCCGGGACTGTCAAATCACGAGTGCGGGTCCGTTCGCCCAAAATGTTGACCAAAGTCAAACTTATTCATTTTAATATCAAAACTTAGCATTTTCCACAAAATTTCATATTGAAGCTTTCCGGCTACGCGCCCGGACTGCACATGCAAATCGAGGCAACTCTAAATGAGGTTTCAAGGCCTCGGAAGCACAGAATGGATAAGAACACAGGTGATGACCCCTTTGGGAGGGGTCATCACATTCTCCACCTCTAAAACAACCGTTCGTCCTCGAACGGACAAAAGAAGGAAGTACCTGAGTCGGGAATAGATTAGGATAACGGCTCCGAATATCGGACTCGGACTTCCAGGTCGATGCCTCAGGAGGTTGGCCTCTCCACTAAACACGAACAGAAGGGAAACTCTTGGATATCAACTGACGAACCTACCGGTCTAGAATAGCTACCGGCTCCTCCTCATAGGGCAAGTCCTTGTCCAACTGGACAGTGCTGAAATCTAACACGTGGGATGGATCGCCGTGATACTTCCAAAGCATGGACACATGGAACACTGGATGCACGACTAATAAGCTCGGCGGTAATGCAAGTCTATAAGCCACCTCTCCCACTCGATCAAGAATATCAAACGGACCAATGAACCTAGGGCTAAGCTTGCCTTTCTTCCCAAATCTCATCACGCCCTTCATAGGCAACACTCGGAGTAATACCTGCTCACCAACCATAAAATTCACATCTCGAACCTTACGATTTGCATAGCTCTTTTGTCTGGACTGAGCTGTACGAAGCCTATCCTGAATGATCCTGACCTTGTGCAAGGCCTCCTGAATCAGATCCATACCCAACAACCGATCCTCTCCCGGCTCAAACCATCCAACCAGAGATCGACACTGCCTACCATATAAAGCTTCATAAGGAGCCATGTGGATACTCGACTGGTAGCTGTTGTTGTAGGCAAACTCTGCTAAAGGCAAGAACTGATCCCACGATCCTCCAAAGTCAATAACACAAGCTCAGAGCATATCCTCCAATATCTAAATAGTCCGCTCGGACTGCCCATTCGTCTAAGGATGAAATGCTATACTTAACTCAACCTAGGTGCCCAACTCTCGCTGAACTGCTCTCCAGAAACGCAAAGTAAACTGCGTACCTCGGTCCGAAATCATAGATACCGGCACACCATGAAGGCGAACAATCTCCCGGATATAGATCTCAGCTAACCTCTCGGATGAATAAGAGACTGCCATAAGAATGAAATGCGCTGACTTGGTCAGCCTATCAACAATGACCCAAACTGCGTCAAACTTCTTCCGAGTCAGCGAAAGTCTAGTAACGAAGTCCTTAGTGATCCACTCCCACTTCCGCTCGGAAGCTCAATCCTCTAAAACAATCCACCAGGCCTCTGATGCTCTTACTTAACCTGCTGACAATTTAAACACCAAGCCACATGTGCAACAATATCCTTCTTCATTCTACGCCACCAATAATATTGCTGCAAATCTTGATACATCTTCGCGTCGCCCGGATGAATAGAGTACCGGGAACTATGGGCCTCATCTAAAATTAACTCCCGAAGCCCATCCACATTAGGCACACAAACTCGACCCTGCAATCTCAAAACTCCATCAGCATCTAAGGTAACCTGCTTGGCACCTCCACGCTGCATTGTGTCTCTAAGGACACACAAATGGGGATCATCAAACTGCCAATCACAGATACGCTCCAATAACAAAGAACAAACGACCGTGCAAGCTAACACTCGACTAGGCTCTAAAGTATCCAACCTCACAAATCGATTGGCCAAATCCTGAACATCCAAAGCAAGCGGCCTCTCACCGAATGGAATATAAACAAGACGGACCATACTGGCTGACATCCTACTCAAAGCATCGGCCACGACATTGGCCTTTCCCGAGTGATATAAGATAGTGATATCATAATCCTTCAACAATCAAATCACCTCCTCTTCCTCAAATTCAACTCCTTTTGCTTGAACAAATACTGAAGACTCTTGTGATCAGTGAACACCTCACATGCCACGCCATACAGATAATGCCTCCAAATCTTCAATGCGTGAACAATGGCTGCCAACTCTAAATCATGCACCAGATAGTTCTTCTCATGAATCTACAACTGCCGCAAAGCATATGCAATGACCTTGCCATCCTGCATCAACACTGCACCAAGACCAATGCGAGATGCATCACAATAAACGGTATAAGGCCATGAACCCGTGGGTAAAACTAACACCGGTGTCGTAGCCAGAGCTGTCTTGAGCCTATAAAAGCTTGCCTCACACTCGTACGGCCATCTGAACTGGGCACCCTTCTGGGTCAACCT